CCGGGGGGGGGGGGGGGGGGGTATCGATTTAAGGATCTTGACTTGCATATAGGCACGGGATTGAGATAGCCCGGCTAAGGTTAAGACTTGGCACGTGAAGATTAAGATTTGTGCATGACAGCTTGTGTTTTGGTGGTGGCACCGCGATGGATTTGACGTATCTGCTTTTCTTTTCGGTGCAACGGCATCGAGAAGGGCGACACAAGGCATATCCTGGGGTCAGGAGCGTAGTTGAAGAATCCAGCCGTGTGCTGAACACAGACCTGTGCATAAAACGGGGGGACTAAGTGGCTGCTGGAAACTGCGTATGAGAGGTTGAGAGGTTGAGGTGGGAGAACAGGGAAGAGACCTGCCGCGAAAAAAAATCATTGCAATCAGGTTTTCACTGTGGGCAGATCATGAGGCTTGTTCCTGACAATTTTCTGGCTTGCGGACATGTACGACGTGTCGGTTTTCCCGTGCACAGAACTGAGACTATCGACGGCACCGCAATATCTACCACAAGCCCTGACGCTTGTGTGGAATGGCACTCACACGACTGAAAAACAAATCAACGACGCCCGCCCACACAATGTTCTAGCAGGGATACCATGAACAACGCCTCTTTGACCGTAGAAAAAGCGCCTTGAGCAACGTCGCCACACCTTTATGTCGCCCGTTGTCAACACGATCTACACACGTACAACAGTCGGTCAGGGACACTACCACTCCTCACAAAGCATGTTCAAAATTACACACACCTGGTAACCTCCGACTTGGCCTCTTCTCTTGCACTCCGGAGATCCTCCGGTGTGCGCGTGACCCTGTTGACCGGGTGGCGAGTGTCTTCGAGCACGTAGTCGTACTCTTCTCTCGCCTCGGGGAGAAGCTTGTCCCTCACCTGATAATGGCGACGGCAGCAGTGAGTCCGAGATGGATGAATGGATGGATGGATGGATGGTGAGAAATAACATTGACCAACGAACATGTTTCATGCTGTTGTCTCCCGCGTTAGGAGTTAAGATTCCGTGGCCCTAAGGCAATACATAAGACCAAGCGGGAACACGCTTCTTTTGGTGTTGCCTTGTGGGGCCAGACGTTTATTAATAAAGCAACAAGCAAGGTGTGTGTGTGTGTTGTTGTTGTGGTTGTTGTTGATGATGATGATGTTGCTGTCTTCACATGAATAAACCGTTCCGTTCTCTCTACCCAGTTCCATGGTCTAACACGTGGCGCGGTCGACCCCCGTGGTGTGTAGGTCACCGTTGAAGGGATCTCACCTCAAACGTCGCCTTCTCAAAGTCTGCCGAGGGTGATTGATCCCCTCTCTTTATGGGAAGACGTGCCTCTTCTGTCTATGGGGTGGTGGTTCACATCGAAAGTTTACTTCATGAAGCAGCAAGAGCTTCGGGACCCGATCAGTAAGTTCCAGCAGCTTGAGCCGTAAATGCACGCCCTCAACCATCAAAGAACTTAGAAAAAAACAACAGAACGAGAGCCGTATCAATACAATACTTAAAATACACACGCCTGGAACCACAATCTCCAAACACACAGGGGTACATTTTTCGGATACCCTGACTGGCACTACCTTCCTTTCATTGGTCAGCTGGTTACGTAGCTACAGGAGGAAACTCCCACAATGGGCAAACACAGACAAATATTCGACCTGTAGAAAGATTTTCTGCTTTCAATCGCACCGAGACTGGACGTTTTTTCATTGGTCAGCCGGTTAGTGCATTCGATGCTACCAATAAAAGCACACGCGTGTGTACAACGAGAAAGACAAAAGTAGCAGGAGGAAGTCGAACTGACCTTGGCCAAGTCGGCCTGCTTCGCCTTCAGCTTGCGCTGCCGCTCTCGGAGCTTGTCCACCGTGCCCTGCACCTTTTCCGCCGTCGGATAAAAGTACTCCTCCCTCCTGGCCTGCCCAGCGCTCAGCTCGGGAAGGCGAACTTGCCGCCTGGCTGAGATCTTGGGGTCCCAGCCCCCGCTCACTGTGTCGCCCCTCTCCTGGAAGCCCAACGCACGAGAGAGACGAGATTTGACAGAGAAAAAAAATACATACGCAATGAGGGTTATTTTTTTGTTTTTTTGTTTTTTTCGCGCAAACGTGTTGAATTAGCGTTGCCTGCCCTGTGACCGACCCCATGCTGAGTCTGCCCCGAAGATCTTGGCGAACATCACTGTAAAATACTGCTATTTACACGGCGTACATTCTCCCTCCCTCTCTCCCTCTCTCTCTCTCTCTCTCTCTCTTTGTCCCTATGCGCACGTGTGTGTCTGTCCGTTTCACCTGAGCCACGAGACCCTTCGCCCTCTGCACGAACTCGGCCCTCCAGGCAGTCTTGCGACCGTCATCGTCCACCTCGAACTTGGCCGGAAGGCAGGCCATCACCGCTCTCATCTCCACCAGGTCGTACTATGAACAAGAACAAACCAAAAGACGACAAAAAGATGAGATAAGACAAGAGGCAGCACAACGAACAGTCAGGTCTCCTTTCAATTTCTTCGCGGTGGTAGGTAAGTCGTTGCTAGGTGCGTCATCCCATTTATTGGACATCGGTCTTTGCGCCTTTCGGTATGAGGTATGTACAAACTCTGGGGTCACCGGCCGGGCCATAGGAAGGGAAAGCGAAAGACCGCTCTATACGACAAACACATTCCTCGTACAACATGCACGACCGCACTGACTGGCTGCAGGTATTGACTAGTTCATCGGATCGGATATTCATTCACCGGGTGTCAAGCGTGTTGATTTCTTCGATCCGGAGGGTAATTGAATAAAACGATACCAAAATACTGTGCCAAAGTACCCAACCGTTGACAGCACCGTCATTTATGAATATTCTTTCAATATCGCGTGAGAACTCTCATAATAAATGACGAGAATCTACCGCCTACCTACCTCTACCCCGGCATGACCATCGTGTGCACACTGCATACGGCAAAGGGCGTCATGTCCCTACACAAGGACTTGTGATCGTTTCCGCTCATCCTCCTCGCAATGCGCCATGCCATGGGATGCGAGTCAAGAGACTCCTATGACAACGGTGCGAGGGACCCCCAATCCCTTCACGGCGATATGGACCCAAATCGAGTGAATACCAAGATGATGGAAAGACTTGATTTTGAAGGAGAGGCTGCTAGAAGGTAGTCTAGGTCACCTTCGGAAATTCCAATTTCTCATCTCGTTCTTGATGTCACCCTTCTTACCATACACGAAAATAATCTAATATGCGCCATTTAGTCAATACACACACACCTTGTCGAGATTGGTGAAGAAGTGCGCGTGTGCCCCCTGCAGGAAGTTGCTCCTCGCGATGTCTTCCGGATGCATCACCGTCCAGTGGAGGAGCCGGTTCTCCTGTGATATTGTAGGTTGGGGGTTGGGGGTGACGAGAGATCCCAACCACAAGCGAGGGGCGGCAACGAGTCCAGCGCCGCAAGCACGGAAGGGGTCATTCAACCACTGGTTGGGCATTACTCACAAAGACAAGTTTAAGTGTCCAAGGCTGGCTGATTGCAATTGAAGCGTTTTTTTCCGAAGCCGAGGGAAGCCTCTTTGACGTCTGCCCTGGCAGGCAGCAGCACAAGAACAACGACATGCCGTATCCGACTATGCCCCGATTCGCTGGAATGCTCAAAGAGTACACAAAGGGGCCACGCGAACAGTCACGATCATGACACCCCATTCGCCTTCATTCTTGACATCCCACCTTAGGTTTGGAAATAGAGTACACAACAGCAAGCACAACACGGCATCCCTCTATTGCTGCATGTCTCCATATCCACCCCGAGAGATACAGTACATAGTCACCACCAAATAGTAAGGACCCCGGCCATCACACCATTGTACACTCAACTATGCTACTACCCCTGTACCAAATCACTCCGGTCACCTTTAGCCTTAGGGACAAATCCCTCGGATACAGTGAACCCCCATCGACGGCGCGCTGCTCCAACTCCGACACCGTAAGCCCGGTCACGCCCACCGGGATGAGAGACCGCATGCACCGCAGGGCCTTCTCGTTGGCAGCGGCCTCTCTCTCGAACCAGGCCTTCTCCTCTTTGGCCACGTGCTGATAAATTTAGAGAGGGTTGGTGCGAGAGAGAGCGGAAGCACAGGGTGGTTGGAGGGGGGGGCGGAGGCGGGGACTTCGCGTTAACCGGACAAGCTATTTCGCGGTCAAGGGGTAAGTGACAAAGGGATTGAGCGTAGGACAGCGCGGTCTGATACCAAGCGAATGAACAACTACATCCGGCAACACGCCCAGGAGCAGCTGTAGCAGAAACACTTGATTGCAACCATCGTTTAAGACTTGCAAGGAGAACAGCTCGAACAACTCGTTGATGGTGCATTTGTACCTGCCGTCCGTTAATAACATACCCGTATTTTAGAGACGCTATCTTCGTGTAAGAGACTCCTTCATAAAGGTACAATAACAACACCAACAACTGTACCTTGATATACTCGGGCAGGGCCTCCTTCCTCTCCCTCCATAGCTCCATGCTTTCGAGAGCAGTCTGGCAGTCCCTCCTGCGCAACGCAAAAATAATATCAACAACCACGGGGGGGGGGCATGCAAATGAAAACACCACATGGTTGGATCGAGGTTGCGCACGTGAGACGCACAACGACAACTGAATGGCAGAAACATGAGACGTAGTAGTGATTCTCCGTTGTTGTTGTCGGGCAAAGGCAAAACAAGAAGACGCAACAGCGATTCTCCGTTGTCGTTGTTGTCGGGCAACGTCAGAAGCTGCAGGAGGCAGAGGTTCCAACTCCCTTCCCAAGCTCAGGAAAGTTTAACCCACATTTACCCTTGCCCGCTTCCCCACTATAACACTACGGTACAATACCATCCCAAAAAAACGTTCCGTCATCACAGCACTCTCTCTCTCTCTCTCTCTCACCTAGTCTTGCTGAGTCCCTCAGCCATCGCCTTCGTGGCAGCCTCCAAGTCTTGGAGGCCGTTCACAGCCTGGGTGGGTGCGATGAGCTCTCTGGCCCAGCCTACCCTCGCCGTGATGTCTGGCGTTGTTATAGAAGCGACCGGAATGAGGGGGAGGGGGGGGGGGGGCGTCGAACACACACTCACAGCGATTTAACCGTATTCCATTCTTTGATTGTCTCGTCCATGGGTTCCATGCTATGTTAGTGTCCACGTAGGAGGGGCACACTGGGTGAACTAACAAAAATGGAAAGTGCTGTGTGTAGATGTGTCGTCGTGCAGAGAACAAATTTGCATGCCGAAACAAGAATACTCCCGGACGTTAGTTCGATTTTGCAACCCGCGCTTGCGTTCAAACGTTTCTATTCATCGGTTGGAGTATGCATACGACGTTGTGTGTGCCACATCTAGTCTGCTACAAAAAAACAAACAATAATTAATGTCCCTTCTCCTGCTGGACCCCAGCTCGTGCGACCGGAAAATATGCAGACATGTACATAAGCGTCAGACCACACGCTCAGCAAATAAGACACAGCATACAGACACATACATTTCATCAGCCAGATAGCGCGGTAGACGCTAACAGCAAACACACACACACCAGACACATCTACTCAACAACCCACCGATGACAGTCTTGAGTGCGCCCTTGTACGCCCCGATGGCCTTCTTGGTTCCGCTCTCGGCCTCATCTATCAGGGCGTGGCCTACCCGCAGGACCTTCTCCTGCGCCGCGGAGATGCCCTCGACCACGCGGCGCAACTTCGCCTCGGCCTCGCCGCCGCCGGCCTGACCGAGGATCTTACCACCGACCTCTTGGGCTAGCTGTCCGTGAGGATTCGTCAGGCGTTCGAAGTCTCCTCCCATCTTGGCGACGGCCTTGAGAGACACCGAAAGCCGGCGGTCCTTGAGAATCTCCATGCCCGCCTGTCGAACGATAGCGTGAGCGTCGCGAGAAAAACGCGAGGCGAGGTGGCAACAAAGAAAAGAGGATATAATCAAACTGCTTTTTGTGATGCATATTTCGTGGATGGGAGATCGGGACAGGTCTTGGCCAGGTAAAAAAATGAAAATCGAGCTCTGATCGGTCGAAGACAATTTGATTTGGTACCAAACCAAACAAAGAAGGCGGAGCTCAATCTTGACTTGGCCCCCAAAAACCCAAACATTCACAAAATTTCAATGATAACCACCTACACATTGTCGTGAAGAATTTCTTAATAATTCTGAGCATGGTCATGGAGTTTCCTGTCTTTGAAAAACATCAAGTCCATTACCACGCGTACGATACCGTACCTGAACCATGGATTCTTGGAAGAGAAGGCGGTGGTACTCTGTCTCCGCGGTCTCCCTCCGCCTCTCGCTCATTTGGACCGCGTTTCCCTGGGTTGCCGTGATGAGCCACTCTAGCTCTTCATCGTCCTTCAGTGGAAACCGACCAATCAACCGGCCGAACCGGAAAAAAACCCAACAAAACAGTCGAGGGGAATCACATGTGATCAGGAGAGAATCAGTCCAAGGAAATCACAGAAGGCAGGTGAAATCGGACACACGAGACAGTCGGCCTAAAGAGAAACTGGTACAGGACGGCACCCGGACACCAAAGGGAGGGACACATATTAGAAGCAAGAACCAGCTACGAGAGGCATGTACGTCTAGACGAAAAATCGACATGGGCATTTCATAGAGAAGGCAAGGACAAAAACTCTCGACAAGCCAGCTGGAGCACGACGAAGACAACTCGGGCTTGCTCTGGCGCGTGCTGTGAGCAGAACAGCATCACAGCAGGAAGGAAGGCAATCACCGCGATACCTCCGAAGGCTGGCTTCCTGCTGGCTCACTTCTTTACACCGTTACTACGGCTACCGCTACCAATACCACTAAGACCATTGCTACTAGTGCTGCAGCCAATCAAAGAACAGTGTTGGGAAAAAACAAAAAAATTCATCACCTTTCCGGTGATCTTTTTCAAGATCTCCAGCTGGAGTACGGTCTTCTCCCATGTGCCGAGGGATGGCAGGCCGTCCCCCTCCTCGCCACCGCCGGTACTGTAGACCTTCTGCTGGACCTGGGGGACGACCTCGTCCATCGTTCTGGAGGGCTTGCTACATGGAGACCCTGGTGTCGCTGGTGCCCTGACGTCATGCTCCGGGGCAGTGCTAGTGGAGGCAGAGAACCTGTTGCAGAAAAAGGTTGATGGTATTGGGACACAAGACATACGGTAACGTGTGAGTGCTTCGGTTTTCGAATCATGTCTCAAGATCTCGGAGGCGAAGAGAAAGATTAATATCATGCGGTACGGATTTCGTTCCGATGCCGTTTCAGAGGGAATTAGCCGCACGTGTCGCACGCAAGTAGACAGCCGAGGAAGGTGCGAAAGGGCACGGACAATAAGGCTAGAGGGGTCCGTGCTTTGGCGAATGTTCCAGCACCTAACTCACGACGAACAGCGCACAACTCACCCGTGTAGGTACGTAGCTATCGAACGTTCCTAGGGACGTACCTAGAAGGACCACCTCTCGGCGTAGACTCGACCATGCGACGGCAAAAATACTCACACGAGTACACCCATCACGCGCACAACGGTTCGTTCGGTTCACCTGGGTCTTTGACGTTTCTTGCTGGGACTTTTCCCACTCACTCCCCCGGCTACGCCACCATCGCCCCCACCGGCCACACGGTCACCGCCGCTTTTCTCTCCTCCGGCCACCGTCTTCGACGTAGCACCCTTACCCTTCGGCCTCGGCGACTTCGACCTGACCGTCGTCATGGCCTTCGAATCTACTGCCTTCGCAAGGCCCTTAGGCCGCGGCGACTTCGACGACTTTACCGTCGCTGGTGCCCTCGAATCCGCTGTCGTCGCAACGGCCTTAGGCCTCGGCGACTTCGACCTGACCGTCGTCATGGCCTTCGAATCTACTGCCTTCGCAAGGCCCTTAGGCCTCGGCGACTTCGACTTGACCATTGTCGTTGTCTTCGAACATTTTCTCGCCGCCGGCGCCGGCGCCCCCGCCGGCGCTTTTTTCGCCCTCGGCGGTAACCTCGCCACAGGCGTCCGCCGCTCCGTCGCTTTCGGCGGCGTGCGACGGCGCTCGGTCGGCTTCATCGCCCACGCCGACTGCCCGACTTTCTTGCTGCTGGTGCTGGTGCTGGTGCTGTTCAGGCTTGTGGTGGTGGTGGCGAGATGTCTGCGCGGGGTCGTGGCGGCAATGGGCCGCTTCTTGCGGGGGGCATTGTTGGCGGCGGTGGGATTTTTCTGGGGCGTCGCGGGTCTGGCGGTCGCGGTCGACTTCCCTGTTCGAGGGGAGAATAGAACAAATAACAGGGGTGGGTCGAATTGTTTCAGTGAGGGTGCGCCAGAATGGTTGAATCGTTCTTGCGAGCATTAAACACATTGCATAGACTAGCGATTGTTTCCGGAATTGCACGCGTTGTTACGGGGTCGTCCAAGTTTTTCGAACGATAATGAGTGAGGATTTTTAGGGTGCTTGCTATGCATGGAGACTACTACTTTTTGTCGTACGCCCATATCCTTGTTGCTCGTGTGGACTACTGTACTCTCAACTGGTTTCACCGCTGAAGATCCAATCGTCCCCCAATGAGAAATCATGGTTGTGAAGATAGTAGTGGCGGATAGCGTGCGGTCAGGGCCGACGCTATCTCCTTCGCTACCACTCTCACCACTGCTGCTGCTGCTGCTGCTGCTGCTGCTGCTGTTGCCTCCGCTCTCACCGGCGCTGCTGATGCTGATGTTGTTGCTACTGTTGCTTCTTCTGTTGCTGCCACCGCCCTCACCGGCGCTGTTGGTGCTGATGCTGGTGCTTCTGCTCGTGCTGGCGCTGCCGCCGCTCTCACCGCCGCCCCTGCTGCTGACGCTGCTGACGCTGCTACTGGGGATGCTTCTGCGGGTGCTGGTGTCGCCGCCACTGCTACCGCCGCTGTCGCCGCTGTCGCCGCCGCTGCTGCTGTTGCTCACAGAAGAAGAAGCTCGTGAGGACATTGGTGAAGGGACCTCAGTCTCCTCATCGCCAGACTGCGCAACTTTCTTGTCGCCGCTACCGCCGCTACCGCCGCCGCCACCGCTGCCCTCGTCGCCCCCCGCTGTCCTGCAGCCCGCCTTCCCCAAGTTTTCGTCCTGTTGGTGTGTTGTTTTCGGAGGGGGGGGTTAGGCTAGACGAGGGAGTTGAAGCTAAGTAGCGGTGTACGCTGCATCCTTTTTATCTACAGTAAGCGAGGGGGCGATACTGAACCCCATCTGTGCAATGGTGAAGGGTGAGGGAAAGATGAATTGCTCAACCCTTCTGGCGACAAAACCGGAGGAAAAGGTTTCCATTTGTACTAAGAAAATGTGAACCCTCAAGGGGCGTCGAACGGCGTGTGCAGCGGTAGATTGTATTAACAGACGCGACTTCTCTTGATATCGATAGATACGACGTGCCCAAAACTAACAGAATTACAGGCAACCCAATATACAATAAATATATATATATATGTATACATACCTGCACGCTTGAGTTCTTCGATAGCACTCGATAAGATATTATGTTTCGAACTGCCCATACGGAACTGCTTATACGGCCGGTGGGAATGGATTACTACTGGACTACCTGCTGTGCTTCCGGGGTTTTTTAGAACCGGTTCACGACATACTGTTCTTCGTCGTTCTTTAGTGCTGTGCGTTTTCGCTTACGACATGCCAAAAGTTCCATCACCCTACACTGTGCACAGATACACAAAATATTTTTCCAAATAGATACGCTATAATAGGCCTTTTCGCAACACCTCCGCCGATCAGTCGTGAATAATGAGATGCAGATGCTTGCCTTGGAGGTCTGAAAAAAATGCACATGCAGAGAGAGTCTACAATGTACCCACGAGAGCCTTGTAGTCAATGCATACGGTACAGCGATCGAGCGGCGATGTCGTCGCTATTACTTCAATGCTACTCCGTACTGCTGTATGTACAGCAGTAGTACCGGCGTCCACATGGGGTATGCTCTTGCTCCCGCGCATCATACCATGTTTTATTTTCTTCTCGCGGAAAACGTCAGGTGAGGTGAGGCAATAATATTAAAACACGAGCCTTGACGAGCCCCTTGCAGCTACCGTAACATATGACAACCCAGGCCTACACCATCTTTCACCGCCACGGTGCTTGATCTTGCTCTCGACCCGAGCCGTTCGGTTGGGATCGGGGTCGGGTGGCGCCGTCAGCTGGCCGCCGCTGCGTTGTCAATCCCCCGACGCTGGTCAGTTGCGCGTGTTTGTGGGATGGTGCATGTCTCACAAAATTCAAATTTACACACACAAACAACAGACCGGCGACCGGGGATAATGACGCAGCGGCGGCCAGCACACGGCTCTCTGTCGCAGACGACAAGATCAGTCCACGACAACGCCGCCAATCGAATCGCGGGGCAAGGTCAAGCACCATGGCGATGTGTGGTGTAGGCCAGATCGATGTCGAGGCTGTCCGGCTGCCACAGATCTTTCAAGAATAACGTTCCATTATGTAGATAACCAATCGACAACGACGAGTAGATGAACTATTTTTTCTGAGCTTTGGAGTCCACCGATCAGCACAAGGAGCCGTGAAGTAGGAGGTGCAGGTGCTTTGCTTGGATGCCTGGATCAACTGTAGTAGTGGCAAGCGGGGTTACCGCACATCTATGCACACGAGAACGCACGTCCTATGCATACAGCGATCGACCGGCCATGAATACTGTACCAAGTTATTTTTGTTCTTTCTCGCTCACGCAGCAGACCATCACCCGAAGCATCCGTTAATTAACACGAGCTGAAAACGTATGCATACCACATGATACCCATACCATATGACGATCGACACCTCGACACCTCCCACCAATGGTCTGCCTAGTACAGCAGTACGCCCTGTCTCACCGTGCCGACACAGTGCGCGATGTCGTCCTCGCCGCTTCGATTGGCAGCATTAGCGTCCAGTATCGTTCTCAGCGAAGCTGGCCCCGAGCTCGTCTCGTATGTGAGAACCGTCCCCCGACACGGCTCGATTTGACCTCGGTGCGACAGATACATGCGTCCGCAGGTGTGCGCGGGGTGCTGGATGGGATGTGTCTCCTACTTTACCCCAAGCTTGGCTTTACCGCGCTGCTTTCAAGGCCCTCCGTTGATATTTTTGCGGCAAGCTGCCGTTGTGTCTTTTGTTCTTGCCATTTCTTGTGGGCGGGAGGACGGAGAGGCGAGGAGAGATCGGTCATGCATGAAAAAAAATAAAAATATCAAAAGAAGAACAGAAAATGGATCATCTGCTCATCTGATTCTGATTGGATAGCCGATCGAAGTCCCGCCGCCGGCAGCCCGGAAATGGAAATCGGCTTTTCTCTATATAATATTCGAAATTGCTAAACCGGACAGTCCCGCCAGCAGACAGCAAGCAAGGCAGGAGCGCCGGCGTTGGCTGTGGCGGAGGTGAAAGAGCAAGAGGGGTTAGAAGCTGAGGGGGAAGGCCTTCGGCCCTGTCCCCGAGCTTGGCACTCAATCCGATCCAGCGTACAGGAGAACGAATTTGTCTTTGTCCGGGTCTCTTCTGTATGATATGCAGAAGCAATGACGCTTGTATTGTCCGTCAACAACAAACACGCGGGCGACAGGAGGGGCGCGTCTCCCCATTTATATGCGTACCAACAACGAAGAGCTGATGGTGAGCAGGGTGTATAGCATGCTCCAGCGGCTCCTAGGCGGCGGAAAGGGTAATTTTGAGGCGCACATCTAAGGACGGTACGACTGCTGTACTGCTGTGGATGGGGTGAGGTAATGAGGCGTGGGGTATCTCAATTCGCGTAGCTTGCATGGCAGCAGTCTGTTTGCGATGCCGTGCCGTTGAAAAAAATGCACAGCAGAGCGAGAAGCCCAGCCCACACAACGCCCACACAGCAGCGTGCATTGTTTGTAGTGTAGCCTTGTGGACGGGCGCGACGAGGAGGTGCTTGTGTATGCGGCCCCTGTTCACACGGATCACAACCATTGCCTTGTAAATTTTTTCTCAGTCCGGCTACAGCAGCGTCAACCACCCAAGCCAAAATGTTCGCCCCTACATCCCCTTTCCCGATCAGACCGTCGGCATCGTTACTCGCAATGCTACACACTTGCTGTTCCTTACAATAGGAATCCAAAGACATGCACCGTTTGCAGGGGAATAAACATTGGTACATAGCGTTGTTGCACTACTGTGTACAGTAAATATATATATATATATGCGTACGTGCGACAGTTTTAGTTGTGTTTTTTTTTTCCTTGTGGTTTGGTTGATGCGACATAATCACCAAGAAAAAAATAATGTGAAGTCTTTCCGCCGTGCGCGGGCACAAACAAACACGCATATCCCGGCGAGCGAGGCACGGCTACTGCATACACCTGACAACGAGCATATCACACCGCCGCAGATCACCATCAGCAGCGTAGACACCGATAGCATCATGGCCGATAGATGCGCAGGCTCACAACTTACCGGCCACACTCAATCGTCTCAAGCCTTCGAATTTCCCGCGGACTGAAAGCAAGCAGTCCTGCCCAACCATTTGTAGCCCATACCAGGCCGCAGAAAAGCCGTTGATGGGCATGAACTTAACGAAGAGAAACTCAGCAAAGCAACGGCAGGGACGGCTTTGTCAATATTTATTGTCTTCGAACACAGTAGTACCTGCCGCGGTCAAAGCAACTGTTCGTAACCCCAGGCCGTTTACCCTAGACCGTTGGGCAGTCAATGAGTAAATGAGTATAAATCATGTATAAACAGTCGTATCCCACCAGGTCTAGAGACGGATATATATATAGAAAAGAGAGGAGAAAGAGGAGAATGTCATAGCATTGGGCCCCACCTCCAGACGGGTCAAGCTACCCCGCATGTACACCTGACTGCTGAACCAACAACCATCATCCTGAGAACGCGCAGGAGAAGACCCTCACTCCCTCGACGGTTTCTCTTGACGGTGGGAGTGCTCTCGGCTTGGGGAAGGCATGTACGTTGTGCACGTGATCTGATCACCCTGCCGTTTAAGCAGTCATGAGTCGGACCCACGCAACCTAAACGAACAACCCGCCAGGTTACAGAGGCTATACACACGCCGCACAGGTCGTACAGGCTCGGCCCCTACTGTTGATACCTGGCTCGAATCTGTGGGGATGAACGGAAGGAAGTTATAGTGGTGTAGTTACGGATGTTGTAGAGGAGTGTTACCTCAATGTTCCTGTCCTGGTTTGAATCTAGTGCGTGAGGTCTCCGCCTTTGTCTTCCGACGACTCCCTCCCGCGGGTTAGGGTGAGGTATCTCGCCTAAGAATTTTCGGGACAGCCGCGTGTGTAGCACGGCCGCATCTCTTGACGGAGCACGAGCAAACTGGTGAAACGAAAAGTTCCCTATTTTGCTTTCTCTCGCAGGCCAGCAGATCGTCAATCGGCGCGCTGCACATGTTCTGGTAGAAAAGGAGTGTGATTTCGGTCGCCCGAGTAATCAAGTTTAGGGCCCTGCATCGCGTGTGGGTCTGATATTAGGAGCCTTTCGTTCCCTCCTGGGACGAAGAGAAAAAGGTCGCATTTCGCGCTCTGTGGCTCATTATGAGATGGAATCGTCGCATTGAGCACAGTCTAGACTAAGGCAAAAACACGAGGCGAGGCCAGTTCCAGCCACCCATCCACAAGCGGGCATCAGTGCGTTCACGAACGCGCTTGGTCTACGAATCGATGTGACCGCAACCAACGTGACCAACAGATCGTTGGCATATATTACGTTACGCTGATCATGACAGAAATTTTCAGCCCTCCCAAACGCAACCTAAACAAATCGCGCGTGCGGGGGGGGGGGGAGTACCGACAATCAACAATCAACAAACCTATGTAAAGTTCGACCACAAACAATCGAACAATCGGAGCCGATTTCAGGCGACGGCAGCTCAACGTTCGAAGGCCTCCGTCAAGAGCGCAACCCATCGATT